GCGGAGGGGCTGGAGCGGAGCGTGGGGAGCCTGCGGGCCAGGGCGGGCGAGCTCTCCAGGGCCTGCCGGGACAAGGAGGGGAAGGTAAGGGCCGGGCTGGCCGGGGACCCGGGCCGGCAGGGACACAGGCCTCTTCCCATCACTGTCCCTTTCCCATCGCTGTCCCCAACACCACCCCCTTCCCATCGCCATCCTCTTCCCATTGCCGTCCCCATCACCATCTCCTTCCCATCACCATCATTTTCCCATCACCATCGCCTTCCCATCGCTGTCCCCATCACCGTCCCCTTCCCATCCCTGTCCTCATCACCGTCCCCTTGCCATCAGCGTCTCCTTCCCATCACCATCCCCTTCCCATCGCTGTCCCCCTCCCATCCCCGTCCCCTTCCCATCCCTGTCCCCATCCCTGTCCCCTTCCCATCCCCGTCCCCCCCTGTCCCCATCCCTGTCCCCATCCCTGTCCTCATCCCCTGACCCACCAGCACCATCCCTGCCCTCCTTTCTGTCCCCATCCCTCTGCCCAGGGGGCCAGACACCCTTGTCCCCATCCCCAGCTCTGTGGGGGGCCGCCGCTGTCCCCACCAAAAAAAAGCGGGGGGCCACCCCGGGGTGGGGCGGGGCCCCGGCCGGTCCCCCCCAGCACCCCAACTGTGTCCCCCGTACCCCACCCCAGATGAAGAAGCTGCTGGCGGAGACGGAGAAGCTGTCGGCGGAGGTGCTGGGGCTCCGCAGCCAGAACGCCCGGCTCCAGCTCCAGCTGGAGGTGGGTGCCAGCACCCGGCATCACCCACCGTCACCTCGTCACCCTCTTCGTCACCTTCCTCTTCTCCTCCCCAGGTCCAGCAGAAAAACCACCGGGACATCGTGGCCGTCTATAGGACCCACCTGCTCAACGCTGCCCAGGTGGGACCCCGCGCCCCCCTCGCTTCGGGGTGACATGGGGGGGGACGATTTCGGCTGCAATGCTGGCAAATACAAATTTGGAGCCCAGCACCCGATTCGGGTCCCCCGTGGGAGGCCGGATCCGGCCCCACGGCAAAGCTCTCCTTCCCCGCAGGGGTTCATGGATGAGGGGGTGCACGCCATGCTGCTGCGGATCCTGCGGACAGAGGAGTGAGGGGCAGGGCTGGGGCCGGGCCCCTCGCCCCCCGGGCCATTAAACTGGAAAAGCCGCGTGTCCCCGTCCCGTGTCCCCATCTGTGGCCGGGCGCGGCGTGGATTCGGCCGCGGGGAGGGCTGGGTGCGGGGTCCCAGGGTGGCACCGGGGGGCTCGCAGCACCCGGGCAGGCCCCGGCTCCCGGCCAGGACGAGGTAGTGGTGCTGGGCTGGGACTGGTCCCCACAGGACCAGTTCCCATACTGGACCAGTCCCATACAGCCCCAGTCCCATACAGCCCCAGTCTCCATAGAGCACCAGCCCCTCTCCCATACAGCCCCATATAGAACCAGCCCCATACAGCCCCAGCCCTATATAGCACCAGCCCTGGTCCCATACAGCCCCATATAGGACTAGCCCTGTACAGCCCCAGTCTCCATATAGCACCAGCCCCATACAGCCCCATGTAGCACCAGCCCCATATAGGACCAGCCCCATACAGCCCCAGACCCAGACCCATACAGCCCCTGCCCCATACAGCCCCATATAGCACCAGCCCCATATAGGACTGGTCGCATACAGCCCCATATAGGACCAGCCCCATACAGCCCCAGACCCAGACCCATACAGCCCCTGCCCCATACAGCCCCATATAGCACCAGCCCCATATAGGACCGGTCCCATATAGCCCCATATAGGACCGGTCCCATATAGCCCCAATCCCCATATAGGAGGAGCCCCGTGCATCTCCAGCCCCATATAGGACCGGCCCCATACAGCCCCAGCCCCATATAGGAGCA